TTAAAAAATCCCATTGCCAGACTTTAAAGCTAAATACATGGGGAGCTTGTGGGGGACTGGACAAACCGAAACTTCCTCAGAAGATTTTAACATTCTTGTCATTCTTAAACTCTAACGAGGCTGCTATAAGTTCCTTAAATTACCAGTAATGAAAGTTGTTTTCAGTTTGTTTCAGATTATAACTTTATTTACTCATTGACTTTGTAGAACAAATGTGAAGGTATCTGGGATTTTGTCCATTTTTCAGTTTTTGAGCATAAAACAAGAGACATTTTATTTACCATGCAAACAAGATAACCGTTGAAGTGAGTATGAAAAGTATTTATCTTATAATCACACAAATTTCACAGTGTGGAATCCTCAAAGTGAGCTGATTGTTTTTTATCAGCATGTTTTTCTAAATGAAACTGTGACATATCTTCAGAAAGAATGATCAGGAAAAGTTTTATAAACACTTACATGCCCACACATATTAACACGCCTGGTTTCATCCTGTTTTTTTTTTTTCTTCCACACACTGCGGCCTAATTGATTCTCATTTTAATTATGTTGACCCAGACTCTGTCTCTAGTCTTCACTGACAACAAAACGAGTGCAGGCCAGTAGTCTGCCTCTCACACTGTGAGGATGACACCTCCGTCTCCACACAGAGGAACGAGACAAGGATCTACTTTGATGTCCCCCCCGACCTCCAAAGGAAAGGTCAAAATAATAAATGTAGGCCCAATTGATGGGTTGGCAGGGGGCGCGGGGGTTTCTCTGCTGATTTTTGGACGAGTGCTCCCCTAAAGGCATAATGAATTCATACAGTCAGTCACGGCCAAAGAGGAAAACAGCGTGACTCCTCTTTCCATGAAAAGGTTGATCTGAATCTGCAGACGAGCCCGGCTCCGTCTTCCCACTCATTCTCCGACACATCCTTTCTCTCTCGAACACAGGATTGTCTCACACTCACATACACATGAATACGTGCTCAGAAATGTCTCTCACTTCACCGTGCCTTTAAAACCCCCTCGATGAGCTGCTCCACCTCACTCTTCCTCCCAGCGAGACGGTCTTTCATTCAGGGCTGAATAACCCAGAAATACACAGATGCTTTAACACATCCTTGAAAAATCCTCAGGTCATCAAGGTCATGTGATATCTGTTATTGCTGACCTTTGACCTCTGCTATATAATTACAGACTCTTGTTTTGAAACCTCAGAACTTTATTTTAAATTCTCTTGAAAATGCTGACTTACAGATAAATGTGTGTAAAATAATACTCAAAGACATCTAGATAATTTTGTTTGTACCTGAAGGTATCACTTTCTAAAAAAAATCCAATAAGTTTGGGAATTAATATTTTAGTCAACCAAAGCATCTGGTGTCTTTTACTTGAGCAAAGTAATAACTACTCAAAGTAAAAATATAATTCATACCTGCACTTTAGGAAAAAACTGAGGTATTAGCAGGAAAATGTAAAAAATATAAATAAATAAAGTAATTCTCATTGTGCATAATGGCCCCTGAGCAGAATTATATTATTATATTGTTGTTATGTACCCTACACACTTATATGTTAGCTGAATGTTAATGATATTTGAAAAAATGGAATATACTGACTCAGCAAATGTGTAAGTAGATCATATTTTTTGAATGTAAATTTTAATAATTAATAAGAGTAATTATTGAGATTATCTACAATATTATACATGAATTAATATGAAGGAAACACTTTACTTTAAATCTTGCATTTAACAAAAATACAATACAATGTACAATGTAGCTGGAAGAAGAAATCATTTTTTTTATCCCGGTGGGCACCCATAACTGGCTGCTGATATATATTGTAAACAGATAGTGAGTGACAGTATGAAACACAGTTCTAACCTTCCTTTCTGCACACAACTACACGATAGCATTTGTAAATGTATCTATGGTGATTAGGGGAACCAAAAAATTATAAAATAGCAAGAAATGAAGTAGAACATTATTGGAGTAGAAGTAGAGAGCAAATGGACAAGTAAAGTCATGTCAAGTAAAAGTACCTCAAAGCTGAGTTAAGTTGCTTTCCAACACTTTCCAGGTGAGCAGACTCAAGAATACACAGGATGCTGTGGAATTAGTTTAAATCAAACTTTGACCTTCCAGATTTTTTCCTTTGAACTCAACAATAAGGAAACAGTGGGCTTTATTTCCAAAACTAATTCAACAATTTGACTTTTTCAGATTTTCAGCTGTGCAGTATAAAATATTGCCAACCATTACTCTTCTATACAGTTTTAACACGGCCTAACCTTTTGTCTTGCTTTGCTTTGAATCTATCCCCCGTATGTTTCTGCACTCCAGTATAAATTCAAAACACTTGAAGGCTTTGCAGCTGATAAATAACTTGTTTTATAACTTATTGTATTTAATGTGTGTCTCCATTTAAAGACACACACCGCGCCGCCGAGCCTCCTCTGTCCTCTCCTGCCTGACTGCAGATGACAAACTCTCAGATGAAACACCCGCGTGAACGTGTCCCACTGACAAAACGCAATTTTCCTGCGGGGCCACGCGGTCCCGGCGGTGGAGCCGTGGATGAGACGCGCATCCATCCGCGCTGCGCTGCCGCTTCTCCGCCGCAGGACGGAGCCGCTCCGGGCGCGATCACATGCGCGGTCCTGCCGTGAATCTCAAATCACCACGGCAACCGGCTTTCACAGCGCGTCCCCGCGTCAGCAGCATCCGTGCGCTGCGATCCCGTCATCCACAGGCGAGAGGAAGGAGAGAGGAAGCAGAGAGGAAGCAGAGAGGAAGCAGAGAGCAAACACACGGTAAGTTCGTCTCCTCTGGTTTTATATTCGTGAATTGTGCCGCAGACGTGAAAAGAGCGCGGACAGCTGCGCAGCGTTTGGCCGAGCACGTGCGATGTTTCTGTGCAGGATGTCATGAAGTGATCTGATGCAGCCTCGTTATTTTTTCATCCACTTTAGAGAATAAATGCATATTACCTTTACGTCAGTGGATGTAAATATATTTTTTATTAACCTCCACATTTACTAAGAGGTTATATACTGATTAACATTTTTAATTTCGAGCTGTAAGTTGCTGTGATTGATTCCACAAGTCTTAAAACACAAACCTCCTTGTGTGGACTGAATGGTCTAAAATGGGTATTTACTTTATTCAGAAGCACAATGATGTGGTTTTATCTGCTGTGTGTGTGTGTGTGTGTGTGCTCACACAGCCTGTGTGTGTTGTCGCAGCAGTCCTCAATGCAGCAAGTTCAGATATGCATGAGCAGTGAAGCATGAGGAACTTGAGAAGTGCAGAATGCAAACTGCTCTTATACTTATTCATATATTCATGTTCAGAAAGCTGTGCCTCTGTAGGAATAAATGTGAAGGTGTCAACTCTGAAATTCATGCGTCATTCTGATATCAACAGTATTTTACAGTGGATGTAATGTGATGCAAAATCAGTGGCTGAGCTCTTTGAAAGATGTCATCGTGCAGCTCTTTCCGCTGCCGGACCTGTTTCCTGTCTGAGTGTTTGACAGCAGCAGTGCTCGCCTCGCTTGTTCATCACAGATTCAGGATGATTCATCGTACCCACACCACAAATGTGTGTGGGGGGGAGAATGGTGGTCAGCACAGATGACCACATCAGACGCCCACTCGCCAAGGACAGTGTTGTCTTGAGTAATATACTTAATTAACCGGACACAAGCTGCTCTCTAAGTTGTGAAAAATAAATAAATATACAGGTTTTTGCTAAATAGTATTGTATAATAGATTAATCATGTTTTACAAGATAGAAGTGATTATTCTTGATTGATTACACCAATAGATAACCCATTAAAACATAAAAACAGCCTATCACACACACACACACACACACACACACACACACACACACACACACACACACGTACAGTATTTAGTACAGTATTTGTCCGGTGTCCTGTGATAATGATCCTGTATCTCTTTCATCAAAAGCACATCTCCTGTGCACCAGGGATTTCTCCTGCTGCATAGAGACTGTAGCTCTCTGCCTGCTGGTGTGTGTGTCATCATTGTGAGTCATTGGCGTCAGTGGGCCTGTGGGGTCCTTGGCTGGGGGAAGGTGTTGTGTTGCACTGTGTGAATGAGATAAGTGGCTCATCACCTCTTCCCTCCACCTTTAGATGGTCATTTGATGGAGGAGAGAAAATAGAATAATGTCAGAGGAGAGAGGCGTTCAGAGCAGACATGGTGGAGTGCATCAAAACATTAAAGACATTGGCAGAACAGGCTGGGGCTTAGTTACAAGATGGATTATACACAGAAGTTATAAGATGTTTACTTTAGACTGATAGGCTTTATAAACAAGGAGACAACGGGCCTCTCAATGGCTCCAAATGGAAAGTTTTTATCATTTTAAGTCGCATGATTGGAATTCTGCTCGACACAACCTCATTGAATTACTTACGAAACATTTATTAAAGGAATAGCTCAAAATATGCTTTATACCTCTTTATGGTTGATATGGTGGTTAGCTTAGCTTAGCATGAAAACTGGGAAAATCAGGGAAATAGCCTGGCTTTGCTAGCTTGTACTAAAATACATCTCTCACCTCTAAAGCTCACTAATGATATATATTATTTGCTTAATCCACATGAAATCTGTAAAAAAAAAATGCCCGTACACATTCCATTCCATGTAACAGTTACTGAAATATTTCAGTCTGGACAAGTGTTGGACTGACCAACATTGGCAAAATCTTGAGAACAATTCTCCTAGGATGGCTCAGGACAAAATTTTGTTTTCACATATATTTCTGTCTTTGATTTTTCTTTTTTTCGATTCTCCTCCTTCCTTCATGTCCTGGCAGCGTCTTCAGCTCCACACACAGTGCTGTCACATTTCATTAAACATAGTCTGAGTCAGTCTGACCCAATCAGTCTGTTTCATCCCTGCTTTCTGTTTCCAGGCAGCCATGGTGAAGCTGGGCAGTAATCTGTCCGAGAAGCTGGAGAAGCAGCCGTCTGCGGACGACGGCTTTGATAACATTCCCCTCATCACGCCCCTGGAAGTCAACCAGCTCCAGCAGTCGTTCGCTGACAAGGTAAATACAGCCTGTTGGGTGTGTGTTGTTAAATGTGCCTGCCTGCCATTTTTTCCTCTGAAATACAATCCATTACATTATAGAAATAACTAACAAAATAAAATGCCTGTGGGTATACTCACCTTTTCCTTATGTAGTGTCCCAGGTTAAAACCGTGGCATCAGCGCACACAATGTGAGCTCCTCTTTGAATGTGTGTTGCATTAAGAAAGCATTCTCGATTATTCTGCAGCACAGTCTGATTGAAGCTGACGCATAACAAACACTTTGTTTTTATGTTTTTAAGACATTCATTAAATCTCTGCTTTTGCAAATGATGCACATGAACATTTCAACATGCAGAACAATGATTTCAGTGGATACGAGCTGTGCTGAACGCTGTGTGACAACATCTTCCATCAATTATAATGTTAAATGAATAACTCCTGATCAGGAGTTCAGAGTTTCTTTACCAGAAGTCAGTGACAGGACATTGTTTCTTCTTCAGATCATTGTCAAGACATCGACACAGTACCAGCTGCAGCAGAAGAAGAAAAACAAGCTGTACGTGCCAAATATCAAGAAACTGAATATTAACTTCTACAGTGATGTTTCAGAGAAAGTTAAGGTAACGAACAATATGAAATCTACATAAACTCTTATCTAAGGATAATCCTGGCATTTTTCTTTTTTTTTCTTATTGTCAATACCTTGAAAAATGAATGATCTGACAAGTATTTACTGTGTAACCAAACTCCGATGCAGATCTCCTCTGTGCCATAGGCTCCACATGTCAATTAGCCATTGCAGCAATGCACTGTTTGACAAGTTCCTTCTTAATCAGCATGGAGTCAATGCGACATACACCATACCGTAGCCTTAAATACTCACTGAAGCACCAAAGTCAAATTCATCTGTAGCTGAAAATAGTCCCCCACAAATATATATTTGTTTCTGTTTGAATAACATTTGCAAAATCTAAAATTATATTCCTTCCAGATCACAGGTCTGATCCTCATCACTTTGGCCTTCTTGACCAGCCTACTCCTCCTGCTCATGTACAAAGCAATGTGGTACGACCAACTTACCTGCCCAGAGGGTTTTATCCTCAAGGTAGGCAAACACACACACACACACACACACACACACACACACANCACACACACACACACACACACACACACACACACACACACACAATATATGGGGCTTTTGAAGCAAAGACAGTCATTCTAAAAGATTGCAGCTCATCTGGTGCTTGGTTCTCAGCACGCCCTCACAACAGTCACATACAGGAGGATTCAGGAAGACCCACACTCATCTCCAAATGACACCTTGTCGACATGGTGTACGGAGTCGATGCTGCCATGCATCTCAGTTGAAGAGTCTGTTTCGCGGAGGAACATGAGAGATTGGGAGAGACATAGGGAGGGCGGGAGGAGAGAGAAGAGAGAGGGAGCAACACAGCCCGCTTTCTGGTCAGGCAGGGATTAGGATGCCTGCCTGTGAATCGGAGGGGTCTTTAATTAGGACTGAGCGTGACTAAACTGTGATTAAAGGCCTAGCAGTGAGGGGGAAGCAAGGAAGGGAAGGGGGAGGGAGCGGAGGGGGCCTTCCGGCAAAGGCTTTTGAAGTTTTTGCCGGTTACAGTTGCTTTCAGCATTTTTTCCTTCCCTGTTAATGTGTTGTTGGAGACATAAAAAGAGAGAGAAGTGAGGATGGAGGACGCAGGGTGGCGTTCAGTCACTGCTGTGCTTTTGATAGGTCCGGCCGCTCGCTGCTGAGGGAAGGTCAGGTAGTGGATCCTCTGCGGGGGAAACTCTCAGAGTCAGTGGGCTCTTTCCAAAACACAACATCAACAGACAGGACATTGTGTTTGTTTGTCAGAGTTTGTGCTTTAGCCCTATCTGCGTGTGAAGATGAGGATAAACCACTCTCAGCATTTGTTCTCACTTGTTTCCCACTGGTAGTGTTCTAATGAGCCATATGTGTAAAAATGTGTGTTACATCAGAGCATCTTTCACTTCACTGTCATCAAGATTTTATGACACAGGTTTCTGTTGAAGTCAGTGTTCCATTATAGGAACTTCAAAGTGAAACCTTTTAAAACCTTGACATTTTAAAACCTTGACATTTTAAAACCTCGACATTTAAAAACATACTGCATTTTGGAAATACAAGTCAGTTGACGTTCCTTCCTTTGAGTGTGAAAAGTCATATAAACTGAAGTCAACCATTAACTTTTGACGTTGAAAATGAGCTGAGCCCAAGGCAACTGAGAAAAATTGATCTGCTGATGAGACGCAATTGAAAGCTCTTGAAAAACATTAGTGAACCTTGACGTAAGATTTTTTCCTCTCTCTTCTGTATCACCTCTTGAGCATGAAAATTATTTTCTGGACCTTTTTTCTGTAAAGTGTAAGATAAACAAACTCTGTGAGAGTCTTTACAGAATACAATATATTCTATGCAGACTGAGAGCTCTATAAGTTTTTATATGCATCTTCAACAAACTGACTATTTGACTATTTTGTCCCTCTTTTCTCAAGAGCCTTATAAACTATGTCAGATTTTCTGATGTAATCTCCACATTTGATGATGATTATTGCTCATAGATTGAAAACAGGAGCAGATCTGCACTCTTTGTTGATCCTCTGGTAGACATGTGTTGTTAATATAAGAGCACTGTGTCCCCTTGATGAAAACAAATGAAGATACTCTTGTCTTTCTGTTGTAACAGCAGAAGCACTGCTCCCCGACAGCTCTGGAGATGTACTTCACAGAGCAGCAGCAGCAGCAGCAGGAGGAGCCAGGCATCCACGGTGGCACCAACACTGGGCTGTACGCTGCTCTCAGCCACCTCAACCAGGTCAAGAGGCCTGGACCTGAGCTGCCATCACCATGGTTACCAGTCATCAGCTCTCTAAAGGAGGCCGAGGTGGCTAAGCAAGGCAGCGAGCCACTGAAAAGAGCGCTGGAGTGAGAGGAGTGAAAGGTCTGATGGAGATGTAGGTTATAGAAGAGGACGTGATGGGCTCCTACACCCTAAAAGTGTTTGAATATCTTGAATCGACAAATTTTGAATCGACAACGTAAAGCACATCTTTACGCAGCTTAATTCCAGTTATGTTAAGTTGATATTTAATAGCTAGTAAATGATATTTAAAAGCTAATACGTGTGTGTGTGTGTGTGTGTGTGTGTGCATGCGTGCATGCATGTGTGCGTGCGTGTGTGTGAGTTACTGTGGTTAGAGGCAGGCATGTTATTAAAGTGTTGGGGAATGTGGCTGACTTTTGCAGTGTTACTGAGTCACCAGTAAACACCTCCATCTGCATTCTGTGTGTGTGCACATATACACACTGTAAAGCTCATATTTACATTCATATGCAGTGTGTGAGTGTGTGTGCATACACTGAATGATTGTGTACTTGTCGGAGAAAGTTGGAAGTAGGAGAAGAGAAGCGAGGTGAGAGCTCTGAGCGAGAAGGGAAGATAACAAGTTTTTAATGAGATCTGTTGGAGTTTCTCCTCATCGCTCCATCTTGTTATCTCACCGTCTGTTCATTTAGTCTTAGAGGGGAGTGTATGAGATCAGCAGTGAATGTGCTCAGACTTCAGCCATTAAAACAAGGAGCTATAATTGTCGATTTTAATATTTGATTCTACATCTTATCAGCCCACGACTGCAAATTACAGTTCTGTAAAATGAAAGTCAAGTGAAAGTATTACTCTTACATACCAAGCGACTCGAGTTACACAACCACAAGCAGTCTGTGTGCTTTAAAGCAGACTTACACTGTGACTCTGGAAAGTATCCGCTAGTAAATCGAATCAATTTTTAATTAAATCTACTAAATGATAAAGTGTGCAGCAATTAAAGAGAACTGCATACTTTCCATAGCCACTGCACAAGTCTCCATTTGAAACATCTTTTTCATAGTGTGTGTGCTGCCTACTGTAATTATGGATAAAACTTGAGACGTTAATGTATTGTTTAAAAAAATGTCTTAATAATATATGTTTATGTGTAAACTTATGTGTAAAACTAGCAAATGAAGCTCCACCCACGTTCAGTTACTAGTTCTGTCTATGTAAGTATTTTTAACTGTAATGATCACAGGGTTACTGTGATCCTTGAATGTATGAAGTAACTTCTTTGATAATGCAAGATCTACTATAATCATTGCTTATAATGTACGACCTATAGTCTGTACAATTTTCTATTTATTTCTATTCATGTGTTTTGTTTGTGTCTTTTGAATGGAAAACCAGTGTTTGCAAATGTTGTTAGTATTCTGTTCCAGGCCATCATATTCATTTCAGAGGGCGGAAAAACAATAATGTGAAGTTCTTCTTTTAAACACAAACACACACGTTGTTTTTTAATAATCAGAAATAACCCACTGTTACCTGGCAAGTCTTGTCATTTGTCTCGATTCACATTTTGACCTTTTCTCTTTGTCTTACAATGTTTTAAAAAACAAAACTCTTCATGTGAGAAGGGATGAATGTGAAGCGCAGCACAGTCTGTCCCCTGAGTCCAAGTGCCAAACATTTACATCAGACCCATCTGCTCTGATGTCACCGACTGAACACAAATAAAAGCCTGAAGTGTTGAGCTCTGTCGTTGACTATCAGCCCTCTTGATTTAGATTCACTGCCTCTGTAATGACTTAATGATTCAATAATGGCTGATGAAATACTGGTGTTTAAATGATTCATGAGAACCTGACAACTAACATCAGCATAGCGTCAGTAGCTGAATGAAGCTCTAGGTCATATGTGAATTCATTCAACAGCATAAAGGCAGGTTGTAAAAATATATAATCTGTATCTACATGTTACTGTATTTCAGAAATAAATTGAGAACTTTATGTTGATAACATAAGTTTTATGAAAACAAAAGGAAGTACTATCTCAGTGCAATATGTGAAGGAGGTTGGTGAAACTAATAGCTACTAATAAATCACAAATGAACTTTTTTCTGCCTTTGGCAATAAAGTGATGTGTTATTCTAAGAAGTTATAAG